TATCTATATCCTCACCTGTATAAATCGTTTCATCCGATGAACGATAGCTAAGCCTTTGTCTTCCGCATCCAGCGAAGCAGCGGCACAAGCCTTTAGAACGGCTTGGATAGCTAGCTTCGGTTGTCCTACAGTAGATACAGCTGATCGAGGTTCTTATTTCGAGGGTGGTTTTGCACATTTACTTAAGCACCTGGGCATTCCACGCATCCAGACAAACGCTAACCACCAGGCAGCGAACGAAATGAACGAGCGTTTTCATCTTCATCTGAAAAGTGCTTTTACGGAGCAGAAAATACAGATTGGAAGGAACCTTTACTATTAGTTCTCTTCGGTTGCAGATCAGCCTTCAAAGTTGATCTCGATTCCACACCAGCACATTAGACGTTTGGTTGCACATTGCGTTTTCAAGGAGAGACTCATATATACGTTCGCAGTTTTTGACTTTTTCATGCTCTTTGTTTATGGGTATATATTCAATAAAATGCAAAGAGGAAAAAAGCCCCATAGACATTGGCCTTCGTGATTGTGCTTTTCTTAGCTTCACTGATGAGCTCGAACAAGGGCTGCTTTGACCTCCGTTCTTTGATTCTCTTCCAGGCTCTGTACTCATAGTTCGGGAGGAAACCTTCGACCAATAAAACATAGAGACCTCAAAACACGTGAAAAAACTTCGGACCGGAGAACGCACCATAGAAGATGATGGGCACGTTCCCCATCCCCTCCACTGCTCCAGGACAATATGGGTATTGAAGAACGTTTTCTGACAGCTCCGTCAGTTTTCCACTGGCTCGTGCTCAGCTGCGACGGCCCTCCTATTTTACTCTAAAGACAAACCAAAGCGGGGCAAGTAGCGAAAAGACGATGGACTTGCAGATACTTTTCCGTGACATTTTCATTTCCCCACATTTCTTTCGTGGACCAGCAACCCTTGTCAAATCAACCGAAAATATTTTGGCAGTAGATTCTTAATATTTCCTTGACATTCCACCAAGTGAATCAATATCTCGGACTAGCAAACCAAAGCATACAACGTGTGCACCCGTGTCGAAGCCTTTCCTCAGCCTTCTATGGGGGAGGGGGGCAGCTCTTAAACGCTCAGATAACTCCCATTCTACACCTATCTTTCCGCCTTTGCCTCTCATTGTTTTATCACACCAAGGCCACCTCCTTTTTCAGCACGCGTTTACTTTCACTTTCTGCACGCTTGCCTATGCTTCCGTATCTCTCTTTTGCTGTGCAGATCATAGCAATATATCCCGTCCTCCGTTTCGTGAATCGTGTCGTTCTGTTTTCGTATGAACGTTCGTCTTGTGATATAGACCTATTATCTCGGAGCAATAATAATAATAATAAAGATAACGGTATATTTCACGAAACCCGCTCATGATCAAATGCACAACAATGTAAAAAATGAACGGTGGAGACAAAAAGTAATAGTACAGAGTGTAGGAAAGTAATTTTCAAACGGGTACAAAAGACATTGTAACCATGCATTGCGGTGAAAAAGAAACACAAAGCGGACAGGGCAATATAATGCAGTACTGACTGTAGGGCGGAACCGAAACCACCATCGCACCGAGAACCTATAACTATCAATTTTGTTATGCCCTTACCCAACATTTGACTTGCCATTGTATTCTTGTTATTGCTAATACGTGTGCCTACAACAAACTGTGACACAATACGTTATCTCTATTTCAGACCGTTCTGCTGTTAATATTATTACGGACAAGGATAACTCCGTGAACTTGTAACTCAAGCGAACTGTAAATCCCCGTTCGGCCATTATTTTTATATTGTTACGTTGTAGTGTGTTACCAATTGAATTATACTGCCCAAACCGTCTTCTGCCTTTACGCTACAAATGGCGTCGCGGGCAGGATCGACCAAGAAGCAAAACGGCAAGGATCAAGAGGTGAAGCCCGAACGGGCAGAGGAGATGAAGTCTGAGACTAGCGCCGCGATGGGCGTCAACGAAATGATCGGCCAATTTTTGTCGAAACTTATCACAGGCGACTCGTTCCGACTGGAGACGGTTCCACCACTCCCGCCACCCGAAAAGTTCACTCTCGGCGGAAACTATCCCCGTTGGGAAGTTCAGGCTCGTGCTTACGCGCAGAAGTTCCCCGAGTCGGAAAGAAAAGTGGCAATTTTAGGCCTGTTGGCCGGTGAAGCGGCCGATAGGGCTTTTCAGTCGAGTGCATTCGAGGAGGAGGATCTCGATGGGGTTTTTCGAAAACTGCGATGCCTCCTTGATACCCCACTTCACCCAATCGAGTACCAGTCACAATTCCACTCGGCACGCCAGAACATCGGGGAGACCGTAGAGGCATACGCGTACCGCGTCAAGCAACTGGTGTCGAAGGCTTTTCCCGACGACAACAGCGAAGCCCAGGATAAGCGTGCTGTGGAACGCTTTGTAGAAGGAGTCAGTGGTGCGTCGGTAAAAAAAGCGCTGATTACAAAATCGCCTAAAAGCCTCAGCGAAGCTGTTGCTCTGGCAGGAGAAACGGAGAAGCTACAGCGAGCTGTTCATGGAGCAGAGAGCCTCTGCTTGACCTTGCACCACCAAGGACGCCAGCAGCGAGAACCAATCCGGAGACCGTGGGGGCCAAGGCCTCGCCAAGGACCGACTAGCGGTGAATACCGCTACAACGACTATCGACGAAGATGGAGTGCTCGAAGCGATGAACTGATCCCTCCCAGCGGGCAAAACCACAGGGGGAGCTCCTCACACCCGGTGGCCAAGGGCGACCCAGCGGACCACGGTGAGTATATTGTTCCTACTATGCATACCGCTCACGAAAATTTGACGTTTGATATTGACTTACTGGTAGAAGCGCGACCGATAAAAGGACTTGTGGATACGGGTGCATCAAAGTCATTAATCGACGTCTCAGTGTTGCACTCCATTGGCAGCCCTGGGATGGACCCATACCATGGCCGACTACGCGGGGCAAATGGAAGTACAATCCGAACGGTTGGCGCTGTACTCCTCACAGTACAGTTCGATGGCGTTATCGTTAAACACCAATTCGTGGTCGCAGAGAAATTGACGATGGGCCTCATCCTGGGGGTTGACATTTTGAAGAGCCTCAAATGCGTCATAGATATGGGGAAACTCACCGTACGCGCCAAGGAGAGAGGTAACCAAAACTGC